GCACCAGGCTCCCCTGCCCCACACCATGGGTGCGGGCACTGGCAGCAGCATCCTCTAAGGTCCTTCCTTGATACCTGGGGTCACTGCCAACCCTTCGCAGGCTTTGGGGTAGTTCTTGTTCACGAAGTGAGGTGAGGCTGCGTGGCAAAGCAAAGCAGCTAACTGAAAATAGCTTTTGCCTTTTCTTCCTTTATTGAATAAAATGGTTTCCTGAAGGTCAAACAAGAAACATACCCGCAGGAGTCACTGTCCAAATATCTCATTTTCTGGCCCAGCCTCACTTGGTCTTTTCCAGAAGTGCCCTGATGCTGAGGTTTGTGTTGCTGTGAGGAGGCACGTGTTTGGCTCTTCTCTACGAACTGCAGCCTAGTTCCCTATATAATGAAATTTTGGTGAAGTTGGGAAATAAGAAGAAGCTTGTTCCTCTTTTTATTTTCTAGAGCATTCTTGCTTTGTTTTTAAAACCCAAGAAAGTGACCACCAGCATGAGTAATTATGAACTTTTTTTTTTTTTGATTTTCATTTCAGGCTCACAACCATCTAAACCAAGATGTCTGAGTAAGTTCCCATTTTTCTGTCTCTAATATATTGTTGGCATTTAAAAATTTTTGTTCAACTGCCAACTTTTTATGTTAAGATTCCTCGGCTTGTTTCCAATTAGGGTCCTAACTGACTGCCTTTTTTCTCCTCTTTCCCTTTTCTCTTCCTTCCCTTACTTGTCCATCTGCTTTTCCTGAACAGTGAAGAGGTAAGTGTGTCTTGCTGGGGGTTTTCCTTTAGTGATGCTCATGGCATCCATCCTGGCTTCACCGTTCCTCCTTAGGAAAATCAGCTGCTCTATGTGTGTGTGGGAGGAATGGTTCATGGCAAGGCTTTCTTGCTGACTCCTCCTGGTAAACATGGGAAGGAGAAGAAAAATCCCTTTTGAAAGAGTTGTCTTTTCTCCTGACTTAGATGCTTTTTTCCCCTCCATTCCTGCTTCCTCAGCCGGCCACGAGATGGTGCTGGGAAGGCAGTGGTCCAGAGCGACCTCTCCTCCATCGTCCATCCACCATTCAGCCCTTAGCCTAGCATCCTCTCTTCCTTCCCCACATCTAGTACTTCATTGTCTACCCACTGAGCACTGCCAAATCACTTCTCAAAGGCAATCCAGGGAGACCCGGATCCAGGGGAGCATGACCAGGGTGGAGGTTGCATTCTTAGCAAGTTTTCCCTGGCTTCTGGCAGAGCCAGGTGGGGCTGGAGGCGGCTGGAGAAATGCAGGGGAGGGTGTGGGAGGATTGTTCATGGCTTTGTCACTCCACATTTCCTCTTAGGAAATTGCTCCATCCTTCATCTCTGCTTGGCATCTCCCCATATGTCTGAAACACCACAAGCTCAAGCTCGTTCTCACTAAGAGAAAAGAGTATGTCAGGGACACGCAGGAACTCCACAATATGGTGCTGGTGTCCAACAGGTGCTTTTATTCCCCATCAAACCCAGAGCGCCCAGAAAAGGCTGTGAGGACACTCTTTGCTACAGTACCAGTTTTCACATGAGGAATGAACCCTGGGCTAACAGCACTCAAGGCGTCTGATTATCTGCTGGTTAATGGTGTGCTGCATCTCTGAGCCGGGTGCCTTTCCTCTGCAGAGCTCTCCAGCACTGTCAGGAGGGCCTTGGCACCATTTGCATATGAAAGACATGTCAGATTTTATTACATTTTGCTCTGCACATCCTTATCCACTTCCTCCCCTATGCAGCACAGACTCACACCCAAGTGCTGCTTTCTACTCACCACCCCTCAGCGTGTCAGATGTGGTGTGTTTCCCCTGTGCCAGCTCAACTCAGCCTTGCCTGGTCTTCTGGGCAACATGCTGAGAAAACAGCCGAAATGCAGAAGTTGTGGTTTCTTTTATAAATTCCTGTTGCTGCTGTTCCAGCAGATGACAGGTACAGAAGAGTAGCCTGTAGTTGTGTCTGTCATTCAGCTGTGATAAACACGCCCTTCAGCATCACTTGCACTGGGTCTTTTCCGCTCCAAGAAATCACACAGCCTTCATGTTTTCACCTGCCTGCCTGTCCTTCTCACTGGGGTGTCAGGACATGTGCAAGGGACCGCTCAGAAAGACATCCCACAGCTCTTTAGCACCCAGAGACACTGGGGCCATGAGCTTGAGCACAAAGTAAAACACATGTCTGAGTGAAAAGGAAAATAGAGAAAAGGCTAAAAGTCCCGAGAAGCCAAGTTTGAAGTTATATTTTATAAGCCTATTTTCAATTTCATCACCCTTGTTATCTTTTCCTGAGGCACTTTGTAGGTTTTAGCTTCCTGAGGTTGGCAAAGCTGGATTGAGCAGGGAGACTCTTTTTTGAGTGCCACTGGTTTGGAGACCAACTGTGTGTCAAGCTCCTGGCTGGAGCAGCTCCCTGGCAGGGCTGCAGGTCCTTAGTGGACTGTGGCATTGCATGAGGAAGGGCAATGGAAAGGGGAATGGGCATCTGATAACCTGCTTCCCACTTGTTTCTTCCATTTGCAGAAAAAGAGGAGGGCAGCGACTGCCCGTCGGCAGCACCTGAAGGTACGTGGCACTGCTGTGGCTGTGTAATGTGTGTTCCCACCACCCCATCTCCCATCCCAAGCCACCCACCATTATTTCTTGCTTTGAGATGGTGGTATTGATGGAACTCCCCAAGCTGCCTCTCCATCAGGGCTCCCACTCCCTTGCTGAGCTCTCTGCTCTCCTCCCTTGCCTCCACCCTGCACTGACCATTGTCCTGCTGCCTTCCAGAGTGCTATGCTCCAGCTTGCTGTCACTGAAATAGAGAAAGAAGCAGCTGCTAAAGAAGTGGAAAAGCAAAATTACCTGGCAGAGCATTGCCCTCCTCTGTCACTCCCAGGATCCATGCAGGAACTTCAGGTAAAGACTTCTTTAACCCTTCCACAGTGCTGGAACAGAAAAGATTTGACTCCATGAGTCAGCCAGGTGGATCTAGGTTGGCCTTCCCATCTTGACTCTCATCTCACCTGTGGTGCCCTGGAGCTGTATGGATGTGGAACTGGCTTGAGAGGCAGGTGGGGTCTCTCTGCAAAAATAAAGGGGTCTGGCTGGCATGCAAGATGTGTTTCTGATGATGTGTTGAGGTAGCATTTGTGTGAAGACAGTAGCAGGGAGATTAGGACAAGCCAACCTTTGCCATGTGGTCTCAACCCCGCCTAGTCTTCTGGATTGAGACTTTTCAGAGCCAGAGCAATTGGGGGGGAGGAATCGTGTATGTGGGTCCAGCAGTCAACATCTCTGTCTGCTTTCCTCCCAGGAGCTGTGCAAAAAGCTTCATGCCAAGATAGAGTCAGTGGATGAGGAGAGGTATGACACAGAAGTGAAGCTACAGAAGACTAACAAGGAGGTGAGTTTCCCCTGGAGCCATCCTTCAGGGAGTCTCCAGCTTCCCTGCACTGCTTGGGTCCATCTCATGAAACCCATGCCCTGCTCTCTCTCTGCCCCACTCATTTCATCCCCTCTCAGCTGGAAGACTTGAGCCAGAAACTCTTTGACCTGCGTGGCAAGTTCAAGAGGCCGCCCCTGCGCAGGGTGCGCATGTCAGCTGATGCGATGCTGCGGGCCCTGCTGGGCTCCAAGCACAAGGTCTGCATGGACCTCCGAGCCAACTTGAAGCAAGTGAAGAAGGAGGACACCGAGAAGGTATTCCTTCCCTCTCCCCTGTGCCCGTAGCAGGAGTTGGCCCCCATTCTTCAGGGCTCACACTTCCCTGTGTGATAGACAGGGTTGAGAGTGAGTCTTTCTCCATAATGTTCTTCCTGCTCAGTATTTCCTCCTCTGGCACCCATGATGTTGAAACAGGAGGGTGCAGTCCAAAAAAGTGTATAGCATGGGTGGAACTAGGTTCCTCTAGCTGTGGTGGGGGTTTCCATGGGTGGACAGATGACGGGCCCTGCCCAGGTGGGCTCTTATGCTGGGGGGCCACCACTCACACCAACCTGACCATCCCTCCCTCAGGAGAAGGATCTTCGTGATGTCGGTGACTGGAGAAAGAACATTGAGGAGAAGTCCGGCATGGAGGGCAGAAAGAAGATGTTCGAGGCTGGCGAGTCCTAAGCACCTGCCTCTCCACACCTGTCCTCCTCTCCCTGCTGTCCCTGCTGCCCTGCCGGGCTCAGGGGCACTGACTGGGTGCCATTTCTCTCTAGTTTTGTGAAGAGCTGCGTCGTGGCAGCAGTGATGTAAATAAAGTTTTGGTGGGAGAGGTGGGTGTTGCCTGCCTGGGTGGCCAGACCCTGACTCATGACATGGTGCCAGCAGGGTCTGCCCCTCCAATGGGGCTCCTGGTAGGGTTGGGGAGGCTTTGACAGGGACTATGCTGTGGGGAAGGAAACCTCTCTGCTGTTGGTCCCCCTCCAAAGCTGGGAAGGCTCACACCCTTGCCCAGTGGGGGAGAGACAAAAGGATAACAGTCCAAGCCCCAGGAGGTGTGGCAGAACCTCAACCCATGATGGCATCAGCAGGAAGCTGTGGGGAAGAAGCAGAGCCCAGAAGGGAGGAGAGGAGTGACAGCTGCAGGGCAGAAGCAAACCCTTCAGCTCCAGTGGGCCTTGAGAGATGCGAAGTGAGGACAACCTTGGTAGCACCTGTGGCAGCACCCCAGGACTGGTGCAGCGTAGGGTGCTGTGGTTTAGAGATGATGGCAGTCACCAGAGTGGCATGGGCAGCTGGGGAGCAGTGCCTCTCCTGCCACAGTGGGGATGTCCGTGCCCCTTGCTTTTCTTTTGGGTTAGCCCAGAACTTCCAAATTCCTAGCTGCCAACAGGTAAAACCTTAAGTCAGTCTCAATGGTTTAAAAGAAAAAAAAAAACAAAAAACAAAAAACACCAAAAGAAACCCCCAAATTCACCTTCCCTCTGCCCTCTCCCATCCCCCCGAACCCTCAGACCATGAAGTTTCCGGCACAGCTCACTTCTGCTGAGCACAGGAAAAGCGAAACGTCGGCAGTACCCTTGCGCTGGAGCTGTCCGTGCAGCCGCCGCGCCAGCCAGCAGGGAAGATGTCAGACTCGGAGGGGTGCCAGGAGGGTGCGGAAGCTGTGAGCCAAGTGGGAGATGAATCCCCTGGGGAGAGCGAGAGGTGAGGCTTGGGGACACCACAGCTGCCTTCCAGTCCCGGGATGCTGGGAGGCTGGGAAACAGGGGGGGCAGTGGTGGGCAAGGAAGATGCGCTACCAAAGCAATGATGACCCATGAGGCTGTAATGGATCAGATGTTCCATCAGGCTTTTGACAAGCTTCTCCAGGTACGGAGAGACTTAGGTTTTCGAAAGGTCTCATCCCCTTTGAATTTCAAAGCCCCTGGGAGGGGGTTGATCAAGTGGGGAATGACAGCTCCAGAGGCAGGCAAGCTCAGTGACGGTCTGGTGACCTGGACCTGCTCCACAGCCAAAATCCCATCTCTAAGACCAGTGGGTGGAGATCAGCTGCCTCCTCTGCTTGCTGGGCACATCTGATTTCTTGCTGTGTGCCCTACGTCTCTAGCCAAATTAACCTGGCAATATTTCAGGCTAGCTGCTGTAAGGTTATACATCTCCCTGTGCCTCCACTCTGCTTTATAGCTTTATCAGCAGAGACTGTAAAATCTGGGGTCTGTTCACTCCGGTGCAGACAGCTTTCCATTGGGGTTAAAAGAATCAGTACCAGAGACCACATCTGTGTGTGGTGGAGGCAGACAGAGAGAAACTCGGCCAAGGTGCATCACCCAGAAGTACTCAGAGTTGGGCTGGATTCAGGCTGAGCATCCAGTGAGCTTAGGAGGTTGCCTGATTTTTCACCTCCAGCTTCAAAGCTTGCATTAGCATTTCTCCCCAAGGCTTCTGAGAGCCAGCACAGTTTATGCGGAGAGGGATAAAACCCCCTTGAGTGACAATGAGAGGAGAAAGGTGTGTCATCTCCTGTCATTAGTGGTTGCCTAAGTGTTTCGGCTGACACCTGACAGCAATTAGCCTTGGCTGAAGATTTGACTGGAAACTTCAAAAGGTGCTGGAAGGCTCTGTGCGAGACTCCCTGCTGAAACAAAGGGAAGCCTTTGGCTTTTAGGGGAGCACAGGGGTTTCCTCAGCACTGGAATCTACTCGATTCCCAGCATTGCTCCAGCTTGGCTTTGCCTCTGCTGCAGGCTCAGCTCACCTTGCAGTAGCAAGGAGCAGGTGCTGTGTGTGGCGCAAGGCAATCAAACCTTTCTGCTCGCCTCTTGCTGCAGTAGGTGCTGGTATGTTGATGCAGGCAGGGCCACCACTGGGGTCTGCTGGCGGGGCAGGGTCAGCTTGTTCCCTTTTCTGTTTCCTGCTGGAGTTCCCACTAAATAAGAAGCTGTCTGGAGGAGTCTGTTCTGTAACACTCAGACCCTTACAGCCTTTCAAAACATCTTTAAAAAGAGTATATGTGATCAGTGACAGCAGGGTGGTGCATCCCTTCCTCTCTAGCTGTGTGTGTCTCAGAATTTTAATGAAACTTCTTAATGAAACTTGATGACAAATGTAGTGAGCAAAAATATATTCCTCTTTGTTTCAAAAATCAGGAGAATTACTTTCCCTCACAACTTGTGTAATAGTTTCATGTGCTGCTCTAAATTTTTCCTGTTTTTACTTGTGCTATTTAAACACTTGCTAGGCTGTGATGATTTCCACTCCCAAAATGGAGGAAGGAAGTGTTTACTTGCTGTTTGGTGCTACGTTTTCTCACCCTGTGGGTAACTCAGCTCTCTCTGATCTCCTCTCCTTGATGAAAAAGCTCTTTTCAAGCTGACCTGTGTATGGATGGAGTCAGGAAAATGCTTCTAAGACAGCCTAAAGCATGATGGAGGTGTGAGCAGTGAGTCTTGTGATGAAGCTGCCAGGAAAATAAATCCCAAGGCTCCTGGGTGTAAATGAACAGTGGGAGGTGCTGGGAGAAAAATAGGAGTGCTTGTCTATTTTACTGTCCAGTGCATATAGAAGAGGAACTTGCATTAGAAAATGTCCTAGAAATTTTAATTTGAACATAGCCTACTGTTTCCCCATACAAATCGGGACATGCTGGCTAAGTCCTGCTGATGCCAGGTAACACTGCTTAAACCAGACTGGTGTTACACTCTCTTCCATGAACTGGAATTGCTGTATTAGGAAACTCCTGCAATGAGCCTTCCCCACTAAAGGAGAAGCTGGAGGGAGCTCTGGGGAGGTGGCTGCTTGGGCTATCCTGCCTTGATGGTGGGAGGCTGGGAGCCCAGGATGCATTGGATCTGTTACTCAGAGCTCTCTCCATAGAACTCTGGAGGCTTCAGGTAGTCTCTGACCTTAGATCCTACACCCATAGCAATGCACATCCCCACAGCTTGAGCTGTGCTCTGCAGGATATCTGCACCTGAGAGGCAGCACGGCTCATGTGGCAGGTTTCTCTTTTCTGTGGGGTCTGAGATGAGATTGGCTTTTCCCAAATTCCCCATCTCCTTCCTTCTGGGGTTTCCCACCCCATGAGCTGCAGGGAGCCCTTGGCAGCCCATGTATGGTCACTGCCTGGGGTGAGGCTCTCCTTGCCAGCAAGCCCCAGGCGCTTCCTTGCCATGTCTGTCCCCAGCTGTCTTGAATTCTCCAGATCCTTAGAGGACTCTCAAGGGTCTTTGCTAAAATGACTGCTGTTGCTAAGTATATCCTTGGTTGGAAGGAGCTTGTCTGGGAAAACTGATACTTGGAGACTATCAGAGTCTTTGGACCCCTCAGTGCACCAGATTCCTTGGGGGTGGGATGGAGGGATGGCTGATCCCTGCTCAGGAGTAACTGGTCACAGTCTGACCCAGCTGGGCTCATTAAAGTGGAAAAATAGTAGGGAAATAAACAGGGGAGGACCAGATGGATTATTTAATGAGGCTGGGTTATACTTATGGTTTCCAAATTGGAATATAGGTGGTCTGGCAGTGGCATTAGGGGTAAAGAACTGTCTCTAATTATAGGAGGTATCAGGTGCCTTCACTGCCCTTTTCTCCTTGGGGGAAAAAAATAAATTAAGTCTGGCATGCCTTGCCTCGCCTTGCCTCTGAGCTATGGGTTTGGAGGAGTGTGTGTTAAAGCAAGGGATTGCCCAGGAGCTTTCGTTTGAATTTTACCTTTTTTTTTTTTTTTTTTTTTTTAAACTAACAAACACAACACAGAAGACTCAGAAGAGTCTCTGCTGGCTTGAAGGCTAGCTGTTTTAAAACTTTTGTTGTGAAGTCTGGCTCTGAAGCTTGTGGGAATCCCTTGCCCCTGGGTGAACTTACTTCAGAGGGTTTAGAGCTTTTCCCAAAATCTGAAAACCGTTCTGCTTGCAGTAACTGGAAGGGCTGGCTGTGCAGCAGGAAGTGCTTAACCTTGGCATGCCCTGGGGATCCTGGGCCCCTCTGCTCTGACCCTCACTGACCTTGCTAATCCAGCCTGGCCGATGCTCTGCCTGCATCCCCTCTTTGGATCCATCACCCCTGTGACCCATGTGCCCAGCTGTGGGGTTTGCACAGTGGCTAAGCTGACTTCTTTCTGCCTTGGTGCTCTCCCCAGAGCTGGGTTTGCTCCTAGCTAGGCACTCATCCAGCCTGGCTGCTGCCTCTACCAAGGCTCCAGGAGACACTGGTGTGACCACCCGGCTCCTGGGACTGTAATCTGACTCTGACTGCAGACCTGCAGTGGCCCTCGGGGGCTTAGAGGAAAGGCTGCAAGGATTTGGTGCTCTCCCCTCACCCTCTCCATGCAGCCCTCCTGGTACAGTCCAGCTATGCAAACCTGCCTGGGAGGGATGGTGCTCACCCCAGCCTGCACAACAGCTTTGACCTCAGTAGCCGCAGTTTCTGTTCCCTTAATATGAGCCCAACAAACTCCTCATCAGGTTGAGTCTTTGGGCTGACTGACGAGGTGCTTTGGTATCCTTTAAAGCCAAATGTACAGGGAATGGGTTCTCATGAGGTGGTTCTGTTCTGAAGTCCTTCATAAGGAGAAACTTTCAGGATATACATCAATGCAAGGAAGACACAAGGCTGTATTTGTATGATAGGGACACTGGGGCCTCTTTACCCAGGTTTTGTTCTGCATCATGGTCATCTGGCATATGAGTAAAAAATATGTCCTAGGAGGTGCTGCACATTCTGGGAAGGCAGCTGTCCTGCATGGCATGACTGTGGTATGATCAGTACTAGATGAGCACCTGCAGTGCCCAAGTGAGGTCAGGGTGTCACCATGGTGAGTGCTCTGTGTTTATCTAGATGGCCTACTGCTTCAGGGAAAAGAGGACAGGTTAATTCTACTGCAAGGCTAGACAGCTGACATGTTTAGGAAGGGTAAGGATGCCCTAACTGTAGAACTTGCCCACTGTATATTTACTACTCTAGGTAGTTTCCTATTGGACCTGTGTGATATCTGTCAGGCCTTGGCAGCTGTCTTAGGTAACCCAAGGCATCATCAGTGGTGCTTGACATGTATATTTAGGCACCTGAATTGCTCCCTGATTTCCCAGTATCATCTAGGAAGCAAAGGCCATAGACCTGCTCTCCTGAGGCTTGACCAGGTACCTCGCAGTCCTCAGCCTGTGTGCGTGTTCCACAGAGGCTCAGTCACGAGTGGGTTAACCAGCCCTGCTTGGAGCCCATGTATGTTTTCCTTGCCAATGTATCCATCCTAACACACACCAGATGCGTGAGGCAGCTGTTGGATTGTCTTAATCCCAGGTTTCGGCACTCAGAGTTGTCTTTCTCACGGGCAGGTCTGCAGTGGCTTCCACTCCTGCAGCCCACACCCTCTGCAGGAGAATTTGCAGCAAGGCAGGGTGAAATATTTTCTGTTATTTGCTTCTTTAAACAAGTCCCTCCTGGGATGGGCTGCTGCAGCAGAGCTGATGCTGACAGCTCCATCTTCAGTCATATGAGGGGAGTGTCAAATGCAGGAACTACTTGAGTTCACCCTGTCTCAGAGGAGCAGTGCATCCACCACAGCCTGGTGCATCTGGTAAGCGTCCAAGGAATACCCGAGTAAAGAGGAAGGAGCATGGGCAAACCCAGCTGGCTTTATTAATGAATGGATATGGCAGCCAGTGAGCTTCTATTAGCTTGATTGGGTGACTTGCACCCAATGGTCTG